CTTTGAGACATTATGATATTGGATTTCCCTTAATAGGGAATTCATTCATTCAGTCATTTGCCCTCAGCTACTCTTTCATCCTCTCTCCATTTACACCTAAACTTTTCTGTCTTTGGAAGGGACATTAGATTTGGCCACTGAATGGGTCCCAATTACTGGCATTGATACATGTCCAGTAAGTCCTCCCTCTCAGTGCACTCCTATTCATGTAGGGTAGGGCTCCCCCGCTACAGACAATGGGGCTGTTGTTTACCAGGCAACACAGCAGTGTGCATTGCTAACCTCCATTTCTTATGAGATGAAGGTGTTGTTTGCCCATCAGGGCTTAAGGAATTTGATGTGAGGTTTTAAAAACAGAGTTGCAGTGTACTTCTTAGGAATAGTGTTGTTACTGAAAGTGGCAATGTAGCTCTGGTCCTGCAAGCACTGAGTAAGGTAAGAACTAGGAAGTTGAGGTGAAGGGATTTGGGTTTTTGTCCTTATTAAAGGCATCACAGAGAACTAGAGCAAGACGTTGGCATCTGCACCCTGAAGAGGACCGGATTTGTAGCTAATCTCAGACTTCCAGCCTCCAGAAATGTGACAAGTCAGTTTCGGTTGTCATAAGCCACTCAGTTGATGGTGATTTATTTTCACAGCTGGAATAGGTTAGGAGAAATCGGTGTATACTACAGGGTAGGGAGCACAGATGATCTGTAATGTTTAACCATGTTTGTGTTTCTAAAAGGCATATGCATAGGTCTGTGTGATTTCTGTGTGGGGCTGTGTAGGAATATGTTTATGTATGTGTATTTTATACAGAGGAGTGTGTGTTGCTGTCAATTTTGGGTGAGGTGTTTTTTCCTGTATTTATTCCATATGTTATGACTGAAAAGAAATCAAAAAACAATTCAAACCAAACAAAAGCTACAAAAACAAGGAAAACAGAACTAAGAGAGCATTTCTAGATATGCTGATATTCTAACAAAAACGAGGTTATTGTCTATAGAAATGAGTAATCTAGAATGAGAATTGGATCTCTAAGATCACGTTAGAAATTATTTGGAGAAATACATTATGTAAAGAAACTGATTTTTCAGAGCAAAAACTGAAGTTCAAACTGGTTAGCCGGTTTACTGAAGGCTAGATAATTGGATAACCAACGGATTTAGGATTAAAAAAGGTCTTTAGCACTAGTGCTTTCAGTTTCAGTTATACTGTTTTATCATTTCTGGGAAAAAAAAAAAACAAAAATAAAACAAGACAACCATGTATTTATTTTGAGACAGTTAAATAACATTAAAATATTTTTATAGAGGTATAAATGGTATATAACTTTATATTAGTTTCAGGACTATGACATGATGATTCTATATTGTATGTATTTTGAAGTAATCATCACAAGTTCCGTTTAATCCATCTTCCTCCTCAGAACAAACAAAAAGGCAGTATCAACTGCAAGTAGAACAGGAAAAGGCTTGGAGAGGTGAGTGTGCAAATATGTGCCTAACCTCGTGGAAAGTCATTGCAAAGACTACTCCACAAACAAGACAGTCAAGAGATTAGTTCAAAGAACAATCCTTTAGAGTAACTTCAGGTAATATCCTCAGAGGGATAAAACAGGCTAAGATATGAGGAACTAAAGAGTTCATTATAGAAATGCTGTAAAGGCTAAGTGATGATTGGCTTAAACAACAGACCTATTTTATCTCACAGTTCTGGAGGCTAGAAGTCCAAGAGCAAAATGTTACAGGTGGTGTCCTTTGAAGACTCTCTCCTTGGCTTGTAAAGGGCTGCCTTCTCCATGACCCCTCACGTGCCTGTGTCCTTCTTGTAAGAACGCCATTCCTTTCTACTTGAAATTAAGGTTCTCTGATCTTTAACTAGATCTAGTTAAAGGTAACTAGTTAAAGATCAGAGAACCATCTGAGAAAACAGCCTTGAGATTCTATTTGTCAGTATTCTATTTCTTTGAAGAATGCATTGAGATTTTCATTGAAATTGTGTTGGATCTGTAAATTGAATCTGAAGGATGGCCATTTTCATAATGTTAATTCTTCCAACCCATGAACAGGGAATGCATTTCTATTTCTTTGTGTCATCTTCTACTTCTTTAACAATATTTTATAATTTTCTTTGTATAGGTCTTTCACTTCCTTTGTGAGGTTTATTCCCAGGTATTTAATTTTTTTGTACAATTGTAAATGGGCTGTTCTTAAAAATTTCTTCTTCATCAGCCTGATTGTTTGCAAATAAGAAGGCTACTGATTTTTGTCTATTGGTTTTGTAACCTGCTACTTTACTAATCTGGTTAATAGTTTTAATTAGTTTTTTCTGTAGAGTCTTTAGAATTTCTCTATATATCATCATATCATCTGCAGATAGTGATAGTTTTACTTCTTCTCCTATTTGGATTGCTTGTATGTCTTTCTCTTGCTTATAGCTGTAGCTAGGACTTCCAGTATTATATTGAAAAGCAGTGGTGAGAGTGGGCATCCTTGTCTTGTTCCAGATCTTAAAGGGAAGGATTTCAGTTTTTCACTATGAGAATGATATTGGCTGTGGGTTTGTCACATTTGGCTTTTACTATGTTATGTTCCTTCCATCCCAAACATTTCGAGGCCCCTAATCATAAATGGATGTTGAACTTTGTCCTATGCCTTCTCAGCATCTATTGATATGATCATATGGTTTTTATTTTTCTTTTTGTTGATGTAAAAAATGCTCAACATGACTTATAATCAGAGAAATGCTAATCAAAACCACAATGAGAGACTACCTCACTCTGGTGAAAATGGCCCATTAAAAAAAAAAAAAAAACTAGCAATAGCAAATGCTGTTGGGATGTGGAGAGAAAAGAATCCTCTTACACTGCTGGTGGGAATGCAAACTGATCCAAGCACTATGGAAAGGTGTGTGGTTACTAAAAATGGAGCTATGGTATGACCCAACAATTCCACTCAGAGGAATCTACTGAAAGTACACAAAAACATTAATTTTAAAGGACACCTGTGTATTTCAGCACTATTCACAATGGCCAAGACATGGAAACAACCTAAATGGCCCAAACAGATGACTGAATTGAAAAGATGTGATACATACACAATGGATTACTACTAAGCAATCAAAAAGGATAAACTATACCATTTGCAGCAACATGTACGGAGCTAAAAGGGATTATGAAGGGCTGCCTTCTCCATGACCCCTCACGTGCCTGTGTCCTTCCTCTAAGAAAGCCATTCTTTTCTACTTGAAATTAAGGTTCTCTGATCTTTAACTAGATCTAGTTAAAGTTAACTAAAGATCAGAGAACCATCTGAGAAAACAGCCTTGAGATTCTATTTGTCAGTATTCTGTCAGTGAAATTAGTCAGAAAAAAAGAGAAAAATATGGGATGGTTTCACTTATAGGAGGAATGTAGGGAAACTGAACAAAGGGCCAGAGGAGGGAAAAAAAAGACAAAACTGAAGGCTAATTTTTAGATCAGAGACATATAGCAGGGGAGGTATGGGGGAGGAAGAGGGTCAAAGCAGGAGAGGGAAAAGCACAAAGGACTCTGGTGATGGTTCACAAGTGAGGTGGTGATGGGAGATTCATGGGGATCAATCAAATACTATATTTTTATATATGGTTCTTATTTTTTAATAAGGGTGGACCTAATAAAGTTCTGAGGCATGGGAAAAAGATTCTTTTTCTCTAGAAGCACTCTTAGTACCAGGTCCTCTATTAGCCAAGGTTCTCCAGTCTTTTACCATTAAGGTTTCAATTCACTGCATGAGGCCCACCCACCATTTGGCCCAACCACCAAATGGTGGTTTACTGTTCTCATGGCTTTCAATTAAAAATATCCAAATGTCAAGGTGCAAAGAGGTATTTTCAGAAAAAAATAAGCTAGGAGAACTTTATAATTTTACACTGACAATTCAGGTTGTCAATGCTGTAGGAAACATTTCTGTTTTAACAAGGTGACTCTGAAGCACATTAACATTTGAAAACCCCTGCTGAAGTCATGTGGAGCCACATACAAGGTTAATACAAATCTTTGCCTTTCCCCTTAACTGTAAGTAATAGAATTGCATGATTCAATAACATGCGATGAGGAACTTTGGCTGTGGATTGAACAGTTGTTTGAATAGTGGTTTCAATTCACTGGATGAGGTCCACCCACCATCTTGAGGAGGAAAATCAGCTCTAACACAAGTCTACTGATTAAATGTTAATCTCATGGAAAAATAGAAATCTTTACAGAACATCTAGAATGACATACCACAAAGAAATGGGTCCTGTGGTTTAACCAAGTCGACACATAAAATTGATCATTATGGGAACTGAATGTTTACTCAATACATTTGACTTCAGAGTTTTATTACTCTAACATAGAATATAGAAAATAATTTGTGTGGGCCTGCCCGGTGGCGCAGCAGTTGAGCGCTGGGTTGCAAAGCTGCCCGCGGCCTCTGTAGCGCCAGTTCGATCCCCGGCTGCTTCCCGGCCACCAGAGGAGGGTCCCACATGGCTCACAGACCTCTCCTGTTGCCCGCTGCTCCCCTCAGCAGTGTGCTTTGGTCCTTCTGCCTGCTCTGCTCCCTGCTCTGGCTCTGGTGAATTCTCTCACCCTCCAGCGCTTCTGACTGTACCCAGTGCTTGTATAAATGAATAATTTTTTAAAAAAAAGAAAATAATTTGTGTAAGAATATAGAAAGTTAAGCAAAAAACAAAAGATAATTAACACCAATGAAAATTGTATAACAAATGGAAATTTAATCATAGTATACTGTGCCATTCACCTATGAGAAATAGTATAATGGGCAAAATGATGGCCGCCCCACTCCACCCCTACCATGTCCACATCTTAATCCTTGGAAACTGTGAGTTGTTAACTTCTAGAGTGAAGGGCCTTGCAGGTGAGACTAAGCTAAGGATCATGAGGTGGGTTTTACCCATGTGAGCCCAATGTAATCATGGGCTCTTTATAAGCTAGACATAGTTGAGCTGGCAGGAGGGGTGCTGGTCAGGCTAAGCTCTGCGTCCGAATGCAGTTCCAAGATGTTACGCTGCTGGTTTGGAAGATGGAAGAAAGGAACCCAAGAGAATGCAGGTGACTTTTAGAAGCTGGAAATACGAGAGAAGTAACTCTTCTCTAGAACCTCAGCAAGGAACCAGCCATGCTAACGCCTTAAGGCCAGAGAGACTCATTTTTGGCTTCTGACCCTACAGAATGTAAGGTAACGAATTTAGTGCTTATTTAAATCACTAGTTTCTGGAAATTTGGTAAAGCACCAATGGCAAACTAACATATCTAGTAATATAAATCCCTGAGTAATCAGAATTGATAGTTTGACAGGAAGAGAAGGGACTATTGTGTGGGTATGTGTGCAGGCATATGGGTGCAGGGTAGGGCAAGAGAAACACGTAACGAATTTAGTGCTTATTTAAATCACTAGTTTCTGGAAATTTGGTAAAGCACCAATGGCAAACTAACATACCTAGTAATATAAATCCCTGAGTAATCAGAATTGATAGTTTGACAGGAAGAGAAGGGACTATTCTGTGGGTATGTGTGCAGGCATATGGGTGCAGGGTAGGGCAAGAGAAACACGTAAATACTAGGCTGAAGCAATGTGTTAAATGAAAGTGTCAAAAACTGCAAATAGAGGAAGACAGCAGAACTTGAGTGAGGAGTTAGGACCATAGTGGATTGTTCTTAATCATAGCCTATACTGTTACTCTATGCACCTATTATTTTGACTAAAACTAAAACTAAATCAAAATGGTTATCCACCTTGTAATCTGAAGGAGTTATTAGCAGACACACTCCAAAAGGAGAAATAATTCAGGGACAAAAATCATAAGATTAAGCAGTGATAGTGAAGGAAAAAGAAGATAAAAGTAAATCCTGCTAAGGTTCTTGGTGTTTATTTTGGATTTGGGACGCTATAGCTACTTATTAAAGCAGGATATTAATGACCAAATGAAAAGTAAAGGTTTACATAATATCTTAGTACGACTGAGAACAGCACTAGTGTGGCTCACTGTCTTTGTGGCTGTGAGTCGACCAAAATAGCCTTCAAATATCAAGGTGAAATGAGGCACATTTTTTCAGAAAAAAATAAACCTCGAGAGAATTTTACAGTCTTACATTGACAATTCACGTTGTTAATGCCGCACTTAATGTTCTAATGAGCCTTCCAGGTGACGGTGATGGACATTCAAGTTTGAAAACCACTGACGAAGTGATTTGACCTCCATATAAGATTACTACAAATCTTTGCCGTTCCCCATAACTCTAGGTTCTAGAACAGCATGATTTAACAACATGCAATGAGGAACTTCGCTGGGCGGTTTAGATCTCAGTTAATGTTACTGTGGACAGTGTGCTTTTGTGAGTTCTGAGCACAGAGTGCTGCTACCAGACCACAATGCAAAAGTATAGCAGAGTTTTAATGTTTTCCCCATTTCTTTCTGAAATCTAGCCATAATATGATACCCTGAGGATGGTGAGATTTATTAGCACCAGGAGGTAAGTTTCTGTTACATTAATATTTGTTACATTAATATATTTAGTATGACTAAGAACAGCACTTGGGTGGTTAACTGAGGCAGCAAGACCTAGCCATGGTGATGTTCTTGAAAATATCTTTGAAGCATGGCTGGTCAGTAGAAGGGGATGGAAGAAGCAGACACAATAAAGCCAACTGATGGGAAGCACGCATTGGGATGATCAGACAACTAGGAGAGCTTTTGTTGGGAGGGCAATGGATTGAGTTCCTGCGTGAGCTGGTAGGGGGTTGTTAGAAAAAAAAAATGGCAATAGGGTAAGTGAATGGCTTCATCTATTTTAATTAAATTTATATCATTGTTGGTTTTTGTACTGTGTTCAGTTTCTCCCCTCAGGTGTAGTCCCTGTAGTTATCTGACCGCCATAGCACTTGTGAACGCTCACCATAGTACCTTGTGAATGGCTTCATTGTGAAATGGAAGGTTTGGGCTTCAAAGGTCTGTGGCAAAGTACTTATTAAATGGTAGGAAAACAGGGCGGCATATTTGTCAGCTTGTTTCCATAGCTTGGCTGCAAGGAACACAGGAGGAGTGTATATATCCCTTTGTATCAGTAAAGCAAGAGTGTTGAAGTTCTGAGGTTTCAGGTTAAGACAGTTGATGTAAGCACTATTACGGGGAGGGAATTTGAATTTCCCTGTTAACTGTGGCCACCAGAATAATCTACAGGGCAGCTCCTTGCTCTCAGTTCTTTTAGTATTGATTCTCTTTCACTCCAGGCTTTTTTTAAGCATTAGGTGCAGCCCTGGTATGGATTGCAGATGATTAAAGATCATAGGCTGAGACTTAACTCTGCCTTCCCAGCAGAGAGTCTTGCTTTAGTTGTCAACTGCTACTCTTGTTAGGAGTTCGAGCTCTAGTTTGCTCAGACTTCATTGTGGGTGGTGGCAGGTGTAGTGTATCTCAGCCTTGCTTTGAGTAGTTACCATTTTTTTTTTTTTATTTATTTATACAAGCACTGGGTACAGTCAGAAGCTGGGTAGGGTGAGAGAATTCACCAGAGCCAGAGCAGGGAGTAGAACAGGCAGAGCGACGAAGTACACTGCTGAGGGGAGCAGCGGGTGGCAGGAGAGGTCTGCGCGCCATGTGGGACCCTCGCCTGGCGGCCAGGGATCAAACCGGTGCTGCAGAGGCTGCGGGCAGCTTCGCAACCCAGCGCTCAACCGCTGCGCCACCGGGGAGACCCTGAGTAGTTACCTTCTAATAGGTAAACCAGATGCTCTGACCCAATTCAGGCTACAGCTGTTTTATGTTAAGTGTCTCAGTTCTTTTCTCCCTTATTTTTAAAAATTTAACGTATTTTACATCACATCATTCTTATACTATGTATGCTTTCTCCTCTTGGGTGTAGTCCCCATAAAATTCCCACCACCAGTTCACCCGTGCACCATCACCATAGTCCCTTGTGTGTAAGAACACATTCCCTCCCCTGTCTTGATCACTTTCCTCCCCTGCAGAGTGTCTCTGATTAATAGTTGCCTGTTACTTTAAGTTATAGTTTTTTCCTGGTCCTTTATTTTGTTCCCTACATTCCTCCTATAAGTGAAGCCATCTGATATTTTGTTTTTCCTTCTAGAAGCCAGTACTTGTTCTGTGGCCCCAGGTCTCCAGCAGTGCACCCACCACCCTTGGTGCCTGCTCATGTACCCCTTACACAGAGAAGCGCCTGCTCTCAGGAGTGCCAAGGCAGGTGTATGCAAAGCATTGGTTGTAGGGGGCTCTGCACAGCAGCCACTGCTCCCTATTATGAGAAGGATGCCCCATTATCACTGTAGACATGGTTCACTTATTTTTTTCTATCCCCTTCTGTCAAACTGATGCTCTTACTGTGAGCTGTGGTGCTGAGTTTTTCCCTTAGGGGTGTTTGTTTTCCAGCAGTTTTACTGTATCTGGAGAAAGTGAAGGGATGTCTTCACTTTGCTGCCATCTCCCCAGATTCTGTCCTTCTACTGAGTTCTCCTTGTCTTTATAGATCTTGGTTTATATTCTAGTATATTTGTTGCTGCATATATAAGCAGATACATTGACATATTTTCTTCCCTTTTTGTTACCAAAGAGATGGGCTACTATAAGTTGCAACTTTGTTCAACAACATATCCAAGAAATAACAGGATCAGTTTATAGAGCTCTTCCTATTTCAGTCTGACTGCAATTGTATTTTTTCTTTTTCTTTAATATTTTATTTTATATAATTCTTACATCATTTTTCATCTTTGCACAATGTATGCATTTTCATTTTGGTTATATTCCCCATACAATTGCACCTCCCCCCTTATTTTGACACTAGTCCTTCCTCTCCCCACCTCTCTCCCCCCCTCCGTAGTGTCTCTGGTTTATAGTTGCTTGTTGATTTTGATTTTCACTTTGTTTTAATTAGTCCTTTTCCTGATCCCTTATTTAGGTTTTCTAAATTCCTGCTATGAGTGAGACCATCCAGTATTTTTCTTTTTCTTTCTGACTTATTTTGCTGAGCATGATCCCTTCCAGCTTCATCCATGTTGCTGCAAACTGCATGTGTTTATCTTTTTTGATTGCTGAGTAATATTCCATTGTGTGTATGTACCACTAAAGATAGAGCTTCCATATGATCCAGCAATTCCACTCCTAGGTATTTACGCAAGGGACCCAGAAACTAATTCCAAAGGGCACCTACATCCCTATGCTTATAGCAGCACTATTTACAATAGCTAAGCTATGGAAACAACCCAAATGCAATTGTATTTTCTTGAAGGATGTATCAAAACTTGTTATACCCATGTGCATGTGCCCTGTTTTCCAGTATTTTGACCATTATGAATAGTGTTCCAGTGAGTAATTTGGTCCATGGTCACTTCATATTCTTGCTGGTTCTTTGGGCGTTCTGTGTCAAAAAGGTAAATATATACAGCCAAAATTCTTATTGCCAAATTTCCTCCCACAGATGCTATAACATTTTGGATTCACATCAGCAGTGTTTGAAAATGCCTGCCTTTCCAGTCTCAATTTGTAAGTTTTCAGTTTTATATTTTTGTATTTTTGCTATCTTGGTAGATGGAAAATGGCTTTCAGTGTAGTGTAAATGTGGTTTTTTTTTGTGTTTAAGAACCATTTTAATTTGTCCTTATTTGCCTATTCATTTTTGCTAATTTTTCCAGCTGGGTCTCTGAAGAGCTCTTCACATAATAGTTGATTAAGGTTAGATGTTACAAGTGTTCACTTAACATTTATCTTCTGTGTTTTTGTTTTTGGTATGTAGTATGTTCTGATATATATGCATATGTATGTGTACTTGTTTGTGCAGTTTGTCGATCTAAATTTCAAATTTTAAGCCTGGGCACATAGAAAAGAGAATGAGTTTTGGGTTTAGTTTTGTCTTAATATTATCTTTTGATAAGTAGTATCTGATGTTAACATAGTGAAGCTTAACAGTATTTTCTGTGGCGATGAGTGTCTTTGGAATGCCATCTAAGAAAACATTTAGCCTTGAAGTCATGGGGTATTCTCTTAATTTACCTTTAACAGTTTAAAATTACTTACTACTATGCTAATCAAAATATAATCTGAGGACCTGTGTTAGTCCTTAACTGGTTTATTATGGTCCACGATAAGAATAGAAAGAATAGAAAGTGATAAGAATCAGAAAGTGGATGTGGTTGTTATCTTGGTAACAACTGTGTGACTGTGGACTCACAGTTCTGGTGTAGTTAAATTGCTGTGGTGGGTCAGGTGGCACAAGCTGTGTAACATTCGTGCCCGATACGATCAAACATGGATCCTTGGGAAAAATAACTCTTGGATCAGTGTATTTTTGAAGTTGAATTGTTGAGAAACAAATACTTTGCTTTCAATTTCAGTCCATGATCAGCTTGGGGTGTGTGTATGTGTGTAATACAGGAATCCAGTTCTGTTCTCACATGCATTTCCTGTAGTCCCGGAACTATTATAAATATGGTTGCTTCCTCACTTCCGTCGCTGCTCTGTGGTTTGTGATGAAGCAACATTTTTTATTGTTTCAATGGTCTGGAGCCATGCTGGAGCCATGCTGGAGCCATGTTAGAGCATGCACTGGAGCCATGCTCTAACAATTCTGAGTAGCTGTAGAATACATCTTCCTATCTTGAGAAAATAGTACTGTACTCTTTATTATGTGGCTTGAAATTTTTTGCTGTTTGACCTTAGAAATTTTAAAATGTCAAAATGCATGTACAACCTATTCAGTTTGATGGGAATTGGGTTAAATATATAGGTCTGTTTAGTCTATTGTAAATACAGTGTTCCTGCGTATTGTACATCTTTAGTTGTTTTTGTCACCATGGGGTTACCCAATTTTTGGAAGTTCAGTAACTTGTATTTATTTTTTTTGCAAACTTTAAGATTTTATGCATAGAAGAACCAGGGTGTAGACCAGATGTGCGGGGGGAGGGGGTGTGTGGTGGTGAGAGAATTGACTAGAGACAGAGCAGGGAGCAGAACAGGCAGATTTACTGAAGTACACTGCTAAGGGGAGCAGCCAATGAGACAGGTCTGTGCCCTGTGGGTTAGCTCCCCAACTGGGGAGTGAGCTCGGGCTGTAGTGGTGATAACACTGAGATTTAACCCCTGTGCCACCAGGGAGGCCCCCCCCTTTTTTGCACATTTTTACATGTAGTATGTTTTACAATAGTATAGATATTAAAAAACACATAATAAAGTGTCACATTTCTAAACTCAAGTAATGGAATGGAGCATTGTATGCAGAGATACAAAGCAATTTTAATGGTGTTGTCTATTTATCTAAAGCCACTGAGTGAAAAACTGTAAAGATTTGTAGGTTTGGCTTGTGCTAGGTAATTTTCTAAATACTTAGCATTCAGCCTCTTAGGAAAATAAAGAAAATCATAAAATAACCAGGAACAGTTACTGCCATTCCTTTCTGATTTACAGGGCCTGTAAATAGTTGAACAGTAGTAGTGATAGGCATTCCTACTATTACTATGAAGCGTTTGACTTACTAAGTGACATTTGTTTCCTGGCAGAAAAACTTTTTTTTTTTTTTCCTACTTCTCGCTTGTTAATAGTTTTTTACTCATCTTCATGGAATTTGTGTTCAATTCTACCATGGTTTTGTTTTGTTTTAGACTAGGTGTTGGAAAATGTTGGCAAGTAGCCAAATTTGGGTCATCACATTTTGCTAGTTTATTTTCATTAAGCTGGGGAAAATCAAATGAATATTTTCTGATGTGGAAACTATATGAAATTAATTGACGTTTTAATTGCACATGGCTGTATTTTGTACAGTGACAAAGTTCAGTGGTAGTGGGAGAAGCACATAATTACGAAGCCAAAGAGTGACGCTCTAACCCTTTTTCTTTCCTTTTTTAATATCTTTTAAAAAAAATTTTACATCATTGTTAATTTTTAAACAATATTTGCTTCCCCCACCCCCTCAGGTGTAGTCCCCATAGAGTTTCCTTCCCCAATGCACCCGTGCACCATCACCTCAGTCCCCTGTGCTCCTCCCTCCCTCCCTCTGATCCCTCTCCCACCTCCTCCCCTGCAGTACATCTCTGATTATTTGTTTTTGCTTTGTGGTGTTTTGTACTGATATTTTTACACTAATATCTTGGTTCCCCTATATTCCTGCTATAAATGAAACCATCCGATATTTTTTTCCTTCTGCCTTATTTCACTGAGGATAATTACTTCTAGCTCCATCCATGTTGCTGTGAATGCCATGATTTCATCTTATTGATTGCTGAGTAATATTCCATTGTGTATATATACCACATCTTCTTGATCCAGTCATCTATTTTTGGGCATTTGGGTTGATTACAGGTTTTAACTATTGTAAATAGTGCTGCAATAAACATAGGGGTACAGGTGCTCTTTTGAATCAATGTTTTTTGTGTCCTGTGGGTAGATCCCTAGTAGTGGAAATGCCGGGTCCAATGGTAGCTCCATTTTTAGTAGGTTGAGGAACCTCCACACAGCTTTCCATAGTGGTTGGACCAGTTTGCATTCCCACCAGCTATGTAGGAGAGTTCCTTTATTGCCACATCCTTGCCAACATTTGTTGTTGCTTATTTGTTTTTTTTTTTTTTATGTGTCATTCTTACTGGTGTAAGGTAGCATCTCAATATGGTTTTGATTTGCATTTCCCTGATGATCAGCGATGTTGAACATTTTTTCATATGCCTGTTAGCCATTTGCATTTCCTCTTTGGAGAAATGTCTTTTTAAGTTCTTCTGCCCATTTCTTGACTGAATTGTTTATTTTGTTTATGTTGTGTCCTGCGAGTTCTTGTATATCTTTGTGATCAGTCCCTTTTCAACTGAATGAAGTGCAAAGATTTTTTTTTTTTTAAATTTAAATGGAGTTTATCTTTAATCATTGGAAAGAAAACATTTTGATAACATTCTTGGATATTTCATAAACATTTCATGAAGACAGGAAAATAAATAATATAGAATGGAATGATGCAGTACATGAAAAATAGTATTTAAAATGTGTTGACACTTCATTGTTATGATAATAATGTGTTTTCATAACTTTTATTTAACATTATAACTCAAATTTATACTGATATTCTCCCATCTGCTGCTTATAAAGTATAAAGTCATCTGTCATTGCTTTAGAGTTCTCATGGTATAATTTAATTAGTTGTGCAATTAATGCCCCACAGACATAAATTTCTGGCATTTTCCTAATTTTCTTCCTAGAATAGGAAACAATTATGTATCTGCATTCATTCTTTTTTTTTTTTTTTTCAAATATTAAATTTTATTTTTATATTCCCCCATACAATTGCAAACGCCCCATTCTGACCCCAATCCTTCCCCTCCCGCCCCCCACCCCCAAAAAGTGTCTCTGGTTCATAGTTTTTTGTTGATTTTGATTTTCACTTTCTTATATTCATTTTCCTGTCCCTTATTTAAGTTTTCTAGATTCTGCTATGAGTGAGACCATCCGGTATTTTTCTTTTTCTTTTGGCTTATTTCGCTGAGCATGATCCCTTCCAGTGCCATCCATGTTGCTGCAAATGGCATGTGTTTATCTTTTTTGAATGCTGAGTAATATTCCATGGTATATATGTACCACATCTTCTTGATCCAGTCATCTATTTTTGGGCATTTGGGTTGTTTCCAAAGCTTAGCTATTGTAAACAGTGCTGCTATAAACATAGGAGTGCAGGTGCTCTTTGGAATTGATGTTTCTGTGTCCTTTGGGTAAATACCTAGGAGTGGAATTGCTGGATCATATGGAAGCTCTATGTTTAGTAGGTCCAGAAATCTCCACACAGCTCTCCATAGTGGTTGGACCAGTTTGCACTCCCACCAACAGTGCAGGAGAGTTCCTTTTTCTCCACATCCTCGCCAACATTTGTTGTTGCTAGTTTTTTTAATATGTGCCATTCTCACTGGTGTGAGATGGTATCTCATGGTAGTTTTGATTTGCATTTCCCTGATTACAAGTGATGTTGAACATTTTTTCATATGTCTGTTGGCCATTTGCATTTCCTCTTCAGAGAAGTTTCTTTTTAGCTCTTCTGCCCATTTTTTGACTGGATTATTTCTTTGTTGTTGCTGAGTCTCATCAGCTCTTTGCAGATTTTTGTGATCAGTCCTTTATCATTAGTGTTGGGTGCAAAAATGTTCTCCCAGTTGGTGGGGTTTCTCTTTGTTTTTGTTATTGTCTCTTTTGTTGTGCAGAAGCTCTTTAATTTGATGTAGTCCCAGCTGTTTATCTTTCTCTTCACTATCACTGCTTTGGGTGATGTGTCTGTAAAGATGTCTTTGATGTGCAAATCCCGTAGTGTTTCGCCTATATTTCCTTCTATGTATTTTATGGTTTCAGGTCTTATGTATAGTTCTTTAATCCATTTTGAGTTGATTTTTGTGTATGGTGTGAGGTAGTGGTCAAGCTTCATTCTTTTGCATGTAGCGACCCAGTTTTCCCAGCACCATCTATTGAACAAACTTTCTTTGCTCCAATGCATAGTCTTCGCTCCTTTGTCAAAGATTAGTTGA